ATGTGTATAAGTTTTTGTCATGAATAGTGTTTGGACAATTATATCATCTTGACTATTATTCACTGTCATTAATAATGATTACTTTTTTTAAAAAAAAAAATATTAAGAATAGTGCATCGAATAATTTATACCCCTTAATATATTTGTTTATACGTTTTTCTCATTAAAAAGTTATCAAGAACTAAATTTCTGATGTAAGGTTAAATCGAATTGAAAGAGATTTCTTCGAAAAAAAAATTTTTGATATGGCTAGCTATTGCGCGCGCGTTAGCTGTCCTAGTTTAGTAAAAAAATATGAACAATTGCAATATTTGAACATTTAATAAAAAAAAAATCTGAACACCACACCACGCCTATATTTTTGAAAAAAAAAATCTTAACAATCGCTTGTGGTCTAATTATTCTAGATGGACCAAGGTGACAATAAACTTATTAGATATATCAAACTACCCCAAACATTGTGCGTGGGTGCTTGGGCCAAGAGTATTGTGTGTGGATGCTTGGGCCAAGAGCTTAAGTGGGCTAGTATTCATCATTAGTTAGTTTTTACTTCAGTGGTGTACTGGTGTTAGAATTTTTATATCCGTTGAGCTTTAATGATTGTTTATGTATCGTTTTCATTATTACTCAACAGCTCAACTCTAATGTCATATAGAAGTACGTGGTATTATGTGATGTTTGTTCCTTAAACATAATTTTTTGTATCATGTAGTTTTTAATGTACAAATTTGTTTATAATTATCTTTTGTTTTACATTATTAAATAAAATTATAAAATATTGATATTGATATTTTGTAAAAACTAAAAATACACTCATGAAAATAAAATTAGTATACATAATTATTTCTTCATATTTGTTCTTCATAATTTATACGTATTGGAGACAGGATATTATTGGTCGTGTATCAAGTATTGTATCGGATGTGATTTACTTTTTCTGAAAGACCAATAATTGTTTCCTTTGCAATATACAAGATTTATAGTTGAGCATCGCACGCAGTAGAGTAGTAGACGTTTGTGGAAGATTATACAATGAATTCAGATAGAATATAGTCATTCTGCTAATCAACTAGATAACCAAAAGTAGTAAAGAAGAGAATCAAAAACGTTGTGACGGTGATTGCTGTATAAATCCAATGAAGGTCCATCACCTTATAAACCTAAGTCCATAATTTTGTCGGTTGTGTCATATTACTATACTACACATTGCTATACTACGCTACCGTTGTAAATGTTTACATTATAAATGTGATTATTAATTTTTATTGGAACAAAATATATAAAGATTAAAATGAAAGTAAAAGCTAGGATAATTATTTATGCAAATATGCAATATTATTGATACTCATCCTAGGAAAACAAAACAGTTTTATGTCTATAAATTATACTGTTATTAATTAATTGCAATAAAAGAATTTTTCGTGTCTCATAAATAATGTCTCGATTGTTGTAAAAAAAAATAAAAATCATGAGTAGTATATATATCATTAGTTGCTTGGTGTTAGTCACAAGAATTATTGAAGTTGTATAATAAGTTACAAACGATACATTAATACGAAGTACAATAGATGATTGATGAGATAGATTCAATCTTATGCTACTTTCTCTGTTTTTTATATGCATTGCAGAGTACTTTTTAATTGCAATTGTAGTACTACTGTATGTAATCCTTAGAGGTATAAATAATTATTTAATATCTTTTCTAATTTGATATAGTATTAATTTGAAAATGCATGACCAAATCACGTGCTAATCAATGTATTTTCATTTTTGGCTTTTATGTATAACTCTTAGAACTATGTATAGCTTTTTTAGGTAGGGCTTGTTATGTAATAGGAAAGTGATAGAGAGAATTCATTACAAATAACTAAAAGGAAAATTAATGCATTTAAATTAAAATTTTCATCTATAAAAAGTACATGTTGCATCTAATAAAAAGTAGAGGAAGACATGCACTTTACTGATGAAACTAGCCATCATTCACATGATCAGATCACTAGCGTGGGCATATGGTCATATAAAAATTAAGGGTTTTTCTATATAGTAACCCTTTTTTTTTCACTTTTCTACGTTGTGCCCTAACATATATCACTTTCTACACTGTAACCCCAATATAAATTTTGTTTTCATACGGTAACCTTGTTGTTATCCTTCCATTAAAAAATTCCGTTAGTGGGGTCCACTCTCCATTATTAGTATTTTTATCGATTTGCGCGTTGAAAAATATTCCGTCTATGGTGTCGAGGGCTATTTTGATTCTTAGGGGGGCAAATTGAGCTTAGATTTGGCCAAAAAATAACGTAAATGCCTCGTTTTGCTTATTAAGAAATGTCTCGATTTACGTGTTCATATTTTAACACACAAAACGAGGCATTTACGTTTTTCTTTTTCCAAATCTGAGCTCAATTTGGATTCTTAAAGACCAAAATAGCCCTCGAAATCTTTGACGGAATATTTTTTAACGCGCAAATCGATAAAAATATATTAATAATGGAAAGTGGGCCCCGCTAACGAAATTTTTTAACGGCAAGGTTATCATATGGAAACAAAAAATATATTAGGGTTACAGTGTAGAAAGTAATATATGTAGGGGCACAACGTAGAAAAGTGAAAAAAAAAACAGGGTTACTATATAGAAAAACCCAAAAATTAATGAATATGGAGTACTACTCCGAGGAATCACGCATGCAAGTTAGTCATTGTTTAGATTGTCCCATCATTATCGTATTTAGAACCTAAAAGATAGTTAATTCCGTGGTAACTGGTAAGGTAGATCTGAAATCAATCCGTTTCGTTGGATGGTCGTGTTTATGCTTTAGATTATTATGCAATCAGTTTTTGACAAGCTTATATTATATGCCTATCATTTTACAAAGTGTTTTGATGGTTCCATGTGATCTTATCTATCTAAGCTACTAAATCTGGAGTGTGATTTCTGCCACCTGCTCTTTTTGGTTTGGATCATTTTAAACTGTCATCTTCTTTCATTTCTTGCCACGTTTCTCCGACTATTCGTCTTCAATGTTTATCATGTGTATCCTGTATACATTATGTGAACTCGCTCTTCAACGGTCCTCTGTTAAGCCAAGTGGCTTTTTTACTTTACAACTACATTAACATGTCTCTTTGTTTGGTAAGCAGTTATAAAATTTTGAGGGCTATGAGAAAATGAGAGATTGTTATCTACAATGAAAAGCATGAGTTAAAACAACCTTACTAACGAGCGCCCCGCGACGTTAGATAAGGATAAATTATATTGGTTGAAATGGTATTAAGTTAGAAAGTTATGGAATTACATCGTCAAATTAAACACTCAAATTAGATGAGAATAACATTTTGTAATGCATGATAGGATGTTTTAAAAATTGTCTTTTTAATTAGAGAATAAGTACGTAATAAGTAAATAATAATAATAATAATAATAATAATAATAATAATAATAATGGTGCAGAACCACCGTATTCAAAGTCTACAAACATAAAAGATAATGAAATTGACCCATGTCTTATGATCTTAGTTAAGTTAGCCTTTATAGTCAGCCGTATCTCACCTACTCCTTTCTCCTAAATGGTCTTTAAATATTATAATTACTCGTATCTATCTCATAATTGGCATTTCTAAAAATACGACATTTGTCAATCGCATTAAAATATTCATCATTTATATATTTACAGCCCCGTTTATGAGATTTCAGGGGCCTATGGGCGAACTTATAAATTGGGCCCTTGATAAAAAAAAACGGATGTTTAATTTATTTTATTTTATTTTAAAAAAAATTGATGGTAGGCAAAAGCAAAAGAAAATGCAGAGTACTAAAAAGAATATTTTTGTAATTTAAAAAAAAACAACTAGAGTAACAAAAAGATTTTTTAAAAATTCCAATTTATTTCAACACAATCAACAATTATGCATACTACTACTCCCGTACTCCGTACAATTTTCTTCAAAACACATAAATAAAGGTGAGTACTTTTTATATTTTTAGCCAATAATCTTCATAATATTTTACTTGTAACTTGGGAAAATTTAGTATAAAAAAAAAAATGAAAATACAATATGACAAAATTACATCAAAAACAGAAAAAACCCTTATCAAAATTTTAAAACCCCCAAAAATCAAACTAGGAATAAAAAAATAGACAAGCTTTTAAATGAAAATCACATTATTGCTATTAATTTGCTCAGTATTTTTTTGTCAATCTCGTCAACAACATTAATCTTTTAAACCCTTGTAGGCATTGCTAGCCACCATATATAATTTATTTATACTGTATAAATCATGATTAATTTTTTTTTTTTTTTTGGAACGGAAATCAGGATTAATTTGAGAGGAAGATCTTCTTATTTTAAGAATTGAACATATATAACAGGCTAAAAATAAATATAATGATAGTAGCAAAATTAAGGAATTATTAGGTGTAAAAATTTAGGAAAGTAATTGTTTTGAGAAATCAATAAGCGTGATTTCAAGAAGGAATTAATATGGGGTACAAATTTATAAAAGTAATTTATTGGGAAAATGGAAATTTTCTGGTTTCAAAATGAGTAATTATGTGAGAAATATCTAACAAAGATTATGGACTTAACAATTTTTTTTCAATAAAGGTAACTTTTACTAAATAATTTGGGCTTCGGGGCCCCGGGCGGCCGCCCTGCCTGCCCCGCCCCAGATACGGGGCTGATTACTACTACGTATTTTCATAAGGTATACACAGAATATACTTTATAAAACTAAAACATCTTACTAGTCAATTCAAGCGAGTAAACCCTTTGAATAGAGAGGAATGATAAATGAATGAATACCATACATCCAAGTTGTGCATGCATGGGTAGGATTTATACAATAGTTAGCCGTAGAAGGAATAAGGTGCATGATGAATGATACGAATACGAAATACGTATACATGGGATGGCAACAGTGCAATACCATGAAAAGTTAGGTTTACTAAAACAAAATAGGTGTAGCTTAAACTGGTAACACATTTACACATGCAAGATTTTAATAAATTTCATACCAACGATGGGTTTGGCTGGTAAACCTTTTGTTACCTACAGTACACACACGTACCCCTACTTTCTCACACCTGTCTTCTTTCCTTCCTCTTATAAATTCACCTCTTTGCTTCTCCTCACACTGTGTCTTCATTCATTATTCTTCCTTCCACACCATCAAACCCAAAACCAAAACAAAAACCACTTTTTATTTTTTGAGAATTAAAAAAAATTAATGGAGGGGAGAGTATCAGGTGGAGGAGGGTGTTGCATTGCAAGATACGGCCACCATCATGGCCCTACTCATTACAACTACTACAACCCATATGATGAGTCCAAAATGGACCGTATCATGCTCCGCTTTCGACCCATCGCTCCGAAGCCGGTCCCTAATGGGTCCACCAACACAACTACTACCACTGCCGACAAGAAGGAAGACGGTCGCAAGGGGAAGAAGCGAGGTGGTGCTAATATTAGCGGTGGTGGTAAGAGGAGAACAAAATCACGTTCTCCTGAAGATGTTAGTAAAAATAATAATAATAACAATAATAATGTTAAGAAATTATCAGATGTTGTTTCATCCAACGGTTATAAAGTAACGCTACCACTGTTGCCTGAAACACCTGATCTAAGCCCAAGGAAGGAGAAAATTCATCAAGTGGGTCACGCTAAGTCGCCAGAACCGATGTGGCTGTGTTTCGGGCCGTCGGATCAGAATAACAATCAAACGGCGGTAGATGCGGTTACTTCAAGCGTGATAGTTGAAGGAGTGACCGACACGTGGATGGACGGGAACAGTCTCGGGAGAACAGATGAGGAGAGAAGGAGGCGTTTAGATGGGGACACGTGTCCAGGGTTTATATCCGACGCGTGGAACCGAGTGTGTTGGACAAATCGCGCTTATAAAAGGATGGTATCGGGAGATGACGACACGTGGGGGAAGGAGAAGGTAGTAACGGTGAAGTTAGGGATGAGAGAGAAAGTAGAGTTACCGCCGGTGAATTTATTCCCTGCGTTCACGTGTAGGGTAAAAGTGGTGGGGTATGGAAAGCAAGGGATGATCAACGGTGGACATTCGTTGACGGTGCCGTGTGATGCTTGGAGAATGGACGGTGGTGGATTTGCATGGCGGTTGGATACTAAAGCTGCCTTATGTTTAGGACGTTGATTAATAATAATTAAAAAAAAATAGAAGTTAACTGGAGTTGTTTACTGATCTTGATCTTGTATGTACAGTTTTTTGTTTTTAAAGGTTTTGCAGAAATATCAATGCCAGTTTTAATTTTTATTTTATTTTGTTATATGATTTTTATTTTATTTTTCTGTTTAGTATTGATTTATTTGATTTAATATTGTGATTTGTGAAGTACTCCCACTGTTTTATAATGTTCTAAAGGCGATTGTTTCCCAAAATAAATTAAATCGAGTTAGAGCCTGACGGAAGGAGTTTTTGTAGTTCTGGATGAATTCGTTGATTAGGGTTTTTATGGTACCCAAATATTTAGAACGATTTCTATGTTCTTTAGAGTTCTTTCTATATATCTTTTGAACCTCTTAATGTTGTACTTAGAAAATAATACGTGTTTATTAGAACTTTATTTCTCTACTTCAATTTTTTATTAAAAAATAATGCTTAATGATACGAAGAAAAGTTATTCCTCTAAAACAAGAATAGAAATTAAACAATAGGAAAAGTATATGCATAACTTCGAGGATATATAGATGGTGTAGGCCTTGTAACTTAATAGCTAATACCTTATTGATTCAGGGCTTTTCAAGAAGTTAAACAACTAGACAACAAACTATAAGTCCAAAATATTAGAATAATAGATCTCATAATTTAAGAATTAAGATAACTAAGCCGAAATTAACAACTGAGCAACAATGATAGCCAAGGAAAAAAAAAAAAAAAAAAACGTTTGTACAACAAACTATTGCAGGAATAATAATGACGACTTATTAGCTCATATGATTGGCTTAATTTTTTTCTTCTGGCCAATAAAATTAAGTCTTCAATCTTCCTTATCTTGAATTCAGATGAGATATGTATGTGTTCGAATGTTCACCAATATTCTCAACTCTAATATTCTCTCCCTAAGAAAGTAAGACCACTCTTTAAATAAGTTCATAATATTGTCACCTTTTTACGGAGAATTATTTAAGTATAATGGTCATTATTACTAATATTTCCATCTATATACTGCATATATATAAGGATTAGGAAATACAGTACAATTTTTAACAAACATTATTAATTGTTATTTTTAAAAAAAAAAAAAAAATATACTCTTTAGAGTGTTACGATATGTATCATTTGTTACGATAAGATAGATGACACTTTGATTATGTGACTAATGTCTAACCAAGGAAGTACGTAGGTTTAAGGAATAGTAAAGCTCGAATATTGTTAATTTGTTAGTGTTAGATTGGTCTGACTATCAGAAGATTGAAAATGAGACACATCTAAATTGCAACCAAGCAAGTTTTACAAAATCTAATAACTTCCTTTTCTTAAAATGAGTACAGTAATAGCAAAGATAAGGTGGACAACTGTTGTCTGTTGGTAGCTTAGGATTGGTTGAGATTTGTGATGTGATAATTGGATTTGGAATAGGCTCACTTTCAAACCTCGATATATCAGCTAGCCTATATATTAGACGGATCACAGCCGATGATTAATAAGCTTTTATTACGGAGTATTGTATTATGCTCAAATTACTTTCAAACCAATTGCAATAAGACTGAGAAGAATTTTAACTATACATAATTACATATATGTCCAAAAGTTCATTCATCGAAGGTGTCACCAGATAATAATTTTTTTTCAACAAATATGGAGTACTCGTAATAAATGATTTATTTTGTGCAATTGTGAAATTTTAGATAACTAATTTGACTAATTGCACCTTTTTTCATTCTTATAATACCGGGAAATACTGTGTAGTATACTATCTTGCTTTAGAAATAGGCATATCACTTATGCATGTGTGATTTCTAACCTTTAATTAGAGAAATATGAAAATTTTGTGCCCTAATCAAGCAACACAACTAATTTTAATAAATAGAGTAGTTATCAACTATTCACATCTTGAATTACATAATTACAAAAATTATTGTATGAAGTTGGTCATAAAAATTAATATTATTTGAGACTGATTTAGTGGATGCTTAAATCTTGGTAAAGTACTTAGTACTTAATTGCAAACCGCGCCTCCTTTCTACAATTAGAATACCAAATTCATAAATAATAACAATTTACGTATTAAAAAATTATGTTTAAGCATAGGTTATCAGTCTAATTAGTATGAAAGCTGCTAAATTAGTTGAATCCTAATACTAGATTAGTAGTACTAATAAAAGTGACGTCTTCTAGATCTTTTAAAAGGCCTACAACCCTAATAGGGACAGGTGTTATGGCAACAAAAAGTATATTTTTATACTTTTTAAAATGGTAAATATCCTGCCATGATCTTTGTAAACCAATGTAATTGTGCCAAATTTCTTCTAGGACAGTCGAATATAATATCATATTTTAACCAATTATCAAACTTACTTCCTTATGAATTATTAGGCTACTCCTTTCTCCACCTCTTTGACCATATCACCAAAAAAATGAACTACTAACTTAAGGGATATTATTGGTCCCAATATATATTCTTGGCAATCATGTGGGATACGATTTCATTTTTCACATGGGAATCGGACAATGATTGATACACGTACTCGCTATGTCCTTGAATTATCTTTCTATTAGGTTTAACAAAACCTTTTGTGTGCCCGGGTGTACAGTAATTTATTTATTGTACATCAGCAATTCTCACACGTGTACCACTAATAAATTCATTATCTCCAATACTTTGTATTATTTTCTCTCCTCTCTCTCTTCCAACAAACTACCAAATTTACGACCACATTCAACCTCAAATTACAATAAGGTTGTTGTTAGGATGACCTCTCATAGAGTTTCGCCTTCCTTTGATCTATATTTCTCAGTCTGCAATTGATTTTTCATTTTATCAAATTTCGAACCCTAACATTCTTAAATTGTTTTTTTTTTGTGCTACATTCTTAAATTGTGATATTTCGCTCTCAAATTTTTCTGATTTAGGTTTCTAATTGATATTTCGATCAAATTTCTGAGCCTTCATAACTTTGGATTTAGAGAACGAGTGAAGTATCAGTCGAAAAATCAGGTATTTTTTTCCATTTTAAAATCAAATTTTCATTTTTATGTATAAAAATTACTCTTTTTACCCACAAAAGTTACTCTTTTTATCTATAAAAGTTACCCTTTTACCCACAAAAGTTACCCTTTTTATGTATAAAAGTTACCCTTTTATCCACAAAAGTTACCCTTTTCGTGCATAAAAGTTACATTTTCTACCCACAAAAGTTACCCTTTTTACCCACAAAAGTTACCCTTTTTATCTATAAAAGTTACCTTTTTTACCCACAAAAGTTACCCTTTTTATGTTTAAAAGTTACCCTTTTTATCTATAAAAGTTACCCTTTTACCCACAAAAGTTACCCTTTTCGTGCATAAAAGTTACCTTTTCTACCCACGAAAGGTACCCTTTTTATACATAAAAGTTACCCTTTTACCCATGGAAGGTACCCTTTTCATGCATAAAAGTTACCCTTTTTTTCTTCTTCTGCTTCCTTTGCAACATTTCTTCTTTCCTCAGCATCTTTCTTTTTCTTCTTTTTCTTTGCAATTGCAGCCTTTTTTCAATTGCATTAACATAATCAACATTTTGAAAAAATCATGAAAAAATTAATAAAACACACCTTCATCTTCTGACGACTTATTTGTACTCTTCTTCTTCACCATTGTAGAATCAAATAAAAAACAAAGAACAAAAACAAAATAAAAAAACCTAAAAATCGAAGAATCAAAACAACTAAATTAAGACACATTTTCACTTTAACTTTTTTCTTCTTCAAAGATTTTTTATCAACCAATTTAGTTGATTCTACTAAAAAAATTAACACGAGAACGGAAAAACAAAAGGAGAAGAGGTAAGATGAAAATGCAATGAAGAGGAGAGAGAGAGGGGATAAGGAGATTATAATTGTATAAAGACCAAAATATAGAAAAGAAAAGAGGAGAGAGAAAAAAATAAGAGAGTGTTTCAGGAGGAGAGGACAAAATCAGAAAGAGGTAAATAAAAAAAAATTAAAAAAAAAAAAAAAAAACTGGCACATGAGAAGACTAGAAGAGGGCAATAATTCCTCAAATTGGGCCGCGCGCCATACACTAAATATTGTACACCGACCTTTTTAAAAAATTTGTGTAGGTTTAATTACAAAAAAAAAATCCTAAGAATATGTGGTATTTTTGTTAAGTATATTTTGTTAGTATTGATTTTAGTTATGTTAGGATATTTATCGTTATAAAATAATATATTAATAATTTATCATTTATGAACATTTAATTGGTTATTTTTCATATAGTGCCAAAAATATCTAATGGTAATTAGAAAGTTTTACATAATATTGTCATTGGATATGTTTGTGGTCAACTTTAATTCGAATTGTAGCGAGCGAGAGTTGTAGATGAAAATTATAATTCTAGTCTACAAATAAATTAATTAATTCATGCTCAATTAACAGTGAAAACTTTATCTTATTTTCCCTTATTTTAATTATAATATTTGTGATTTTTTGTTATTGTATTTTAACTGAAGTACAATCTCATTAGAGTATATTGAGTGATCAAGTGCATACAACATAATGCATGTATTTATCATTTTATGTTTAGAGTGATGACACATTATTACACTTATAAGGGTAATTTTATATGACAATGTCTCACCTTTTTTTTTTTAAAAAAAAAATATCTCACTTGTCATAATCGGGAAAAATTAATTTATCTCATTGATATGTTCGTTACTCAATCATGGGATGCTATAGTATATACAATAAGAAAAAAACACTTGTATAATCCTTAATTTTATACAATAAATGAAGATTTAGTTAGGTTTGATAAATGCTTTATGCCAAACATATAAAGTATTAGGATGGAAAGCTATTGATGAATCATATTCTTGTAATAGACTAACTTATTGAATAATTAACAATAGTAATCATGACAGAATTACACCCTAAACTATAGGATGAAAATGCACCTACCAATATATGGATAAGAGTTTTATATAATTAAATCAATTAGAATCAAATTAATTTGATAGGTTTTGTCTCCTTTGGCGTCAAGAAGACGTAATCATAGTCATTAAGATGCCAATTAAGGCAATCGTTTGATTGTAGCATTACAATATCTCTCATATCTTTTA